CCACAAAGCGAGCTGATCTTCGAGAGGTGCGCATGCCCATGTGGATTTCACCCTGAGCCCTCCCCCTTCCTCCTTCTCCTCCTCCTCCTCCTCTTCCTCCTCGTCCTCCTCCTCCCCCTCCTCCCCCCCCACCTCCCTTCCTCCTCCTCCTCCTCCTCCTCCTCCTCCTCCTCCTCCTCCTCCTCCTCCTTGCGTGCATTCAGCGATCTGGGGGCAGAGTGTCCAAGAGGCGGACGGCATCCCGCCGACCACCGGCTGGCCACGGAGCAGGGCATGTTTGAAGCTGCTGTGGGCAGTCCTGTGGCCTTCGGCCCGTCCCGCCACTGCGCCGGGCCTGGGGGTCAGAGGTTTTTTGAACGCCAGCGGGGTCTCTCGGGACGCCGCTGGGGAGCTCCTTGGAGGCAGCTCTGGGGCCTCTCGGGGGGGCCGTTTGGGGCCTCTCTTGGGGGCCTCTGGAGGCCTCCCTGAGCCTCTTGGGGGCCGCTGAGGACTTCTTGGTGGTCTCCTGGGCGCCTGCTGAGCGGCGGAGGGCACGAAACGTCTGTTCGACTTCCCTTCTGGGGCCGTCTCGGGCGCCTCTTGGGCCGTCTTGGGGCCCTCTGTCGTCAACTCCTCTTGGGGGCCTCTTGGTCCGTCTTGGTGCGATCTTGGGTGCCTCTTGAGTCGTTTTGGACCCTGTCGACACCAAACATGTGAATCTGCTAAAATTAATGCGTTGCTTATTGCATGGGCCTGGGGATGGAGATTCTGGCCTCTTGAGGCCCTCTTAGTAGTCCTCTTGGAGCTCTCTTGGGGCGTCTTGGAGGCTTTTTGGGCTGTTTTGAGGCTATCTAGGGTGTTTTTGAGGCCACCTCGGCGTGTTGGAGTCCAGCTTGTGAAAGCTGTGGTGAAATATTAGGCGTCTTTGAGGCCACGGAGTGTAGAGATGGAGGCTCCAGAGGCCCCAGCGGTGCGTTGAGGAGCCTGGAGTCCCCCCCCTTTCTGTCTAGTCGGGTTTGGGGACCCTGGGGAAGGGGGAAAGGGGGAGGGGGACAGCCATGTGTCTCACACGCCTGTTACCCCCGGCAAGCGGGGATCGGTGGGACCCCACTGTGGGCTGCGCACCCATGGCTTGCCGAAAGTATGCTTCTATTTCCCAGGTTCCAGTGCACTTTAGGCTTGGAGTCGGCTGGGGGTCTGAGGTGGCCAAGCATTGGCTATGACGAGCAGGAAGGGGGGGCCAGGTTGCAGGTTTGGGCTCGAGCAGTGTTTGCTGTTGCCTCTCTCGGTCCCATGGGGGGGCCGTTTTCGGGTCCCCGGCCTGTGAAAAACATATCCGGGGCGAACGAATTACACCATCTTGAGACAGATCTGATCTTAAGTCGGGTTTGTCCCTCTACAGGAGGAATACTCGAAAAATACTCAAAGTAGTCTGGGGACGATTTGTTTAGTATCGTTCTGTCTTTTTGAAAATGTGTCGATTGTTTTTTATTTCTCGTCCAAAATCCCCTTGGTAGGAGGACATGCCCGACCGAAATTTGATTGGATTTGGCTCCATCCCCCGCTCTTGACCGATCTTCTCTGAGCCCATCCAGCTCAGACCCCCCAGCCGCCTCCAGGCTTCACGGTTCCCAGCGCAGGTTGTGCACTCCTCGCTCGCCGAAGGTCTGCTTTTTGTTTACCAGGTCCCACGTCTGCTTGAGGCGCCTGCCTGCCTCACTCCTCGAAAGGTGCTCTCGTTTCCTTCCTCTTCGCGGAGCGGGCAGGAACCCAATCTGCGTTCAGCGCCCTCTTCCTATGTCATGCTTCTGCCCGCTTCGTCCGAACGGAGGAGGGAGGGAGGGAGGGAGGGAGGGAGGGAGGGAGGGAGGGAGGGAGGAGGAGGAGGGAGGAGGAGGAGGAGGAGGAGGAGGAGGAGGAGGAGGAGGACGAGGAGGAGGAGGAGGAGGCGGGGTCGTGCACGGCAGGCTCTCGCCGTGCCGGCTCGGCGGCGATCCCCGAGAGCGGCCGCTCGAGGTGGAGCGCCGCCGGGGGCCGCTCGCACGGGCCGGCATCGAGCGGTCCGCGCCGTCGGGAGGCCTCGAGCGTTCGAGGGTGGGAGGACCCACGCGGGGTCCGAAGCCACAGGGCAGGCCGCCATGCCACGGACCTGCCGTCACGGCGTGCCCCACGCGGTCCCGCGGTCTCGGCGCGCGGCCGCGCCGCTTGTCGCCCCCCCGCGCGAGGGCGGCTTCCACGCGGCCGAGTCGCCTGCCCGCGTCCTGCGGCCCCGCTTTCATGGCCCTTGGCCATGGCGGGCGCTGCCCGCCTCCATTCTGTGCTCCCGCAGCGGCTGTTGCGACACGTGGGTCGTATCTGCACGGCCGATGATGTCGCCTCCCGAGATTGCGCGTGTTGGATTAAGTCGGGCTTGTCCCTCTACAAGGGGGATCTTCAAAAACATTAAAACAATAGTCTGGGGACTATGTTTGGAGCATTTTCAGTTTTTTCTCATTTGTTTTGACTATTTCTAATTTTTGCACCAAATCCCCCTGTCGGGGGACAGGCACGACCTTTGTGTTGGAATGTTTCGCATCTGCGCCACGTGCCCCCGCCTGATTTGAACGTTGTTCACCCGTTGGTCGTCAAGCGTGGAATGTTTGGCAGTCGATTCGTGTGTATCATGCGAGGGACATGTGTGATTATTAATCTCATGCTTGGCTCGCGCCAGAGCATGTGTGCCGCATTTGGTGCGCTCTTGGCTTCCAACTGGTGCGCATTCGTGCTGGCTTCGCTTAATGAGCCGCTCGCAGTCGAACCACGTCCATACTGCATGTCGTCGCGCCTTGCCAGGATGCGATCCACATTTTGGATTATTCCTGACACGTGCAATCAATGCACACATTCATTCCATTCGAACCATTTTTAATTGACCGGAGGATCGTTCATTCTTTTCGAGCAGGCATACGGACCACCTGGACAGCCCCATTGGGCCATCGGAAGCCATCTAGGCGTGACAGAACTATCTGGGCATCATCAGCAATCTCCGAGATACCACACACACATTCAGGGCACCTCTAGCACACTATCGGGCTATTCAGCGCGACCGCCCGCTCCCTCGCCCCTCGAAAAACACGAGGAATCAGGACTCCATTCGGACATAGTCGCGACCGTCTGTCGGAGAAAGAAGGTCAGCACACCCAAGTGGCCCGCGGCAAGACGCGCGACGCGGGACACGGATCCCCCACCGTGCTTGTGTTTTCTTGTCGTCCAACGGTCGACCCAGAGGGGCCGTTTGAAGTGAATCAGTGTTCATTTGATTGATACGCGTTGACCGTCCAGATCGTCATGGCGAGTGCCCTGCGAAGGTCTGGCCCAGGGCATACATACGATGTGGTCTGAAACATTTTGATTTCTCCGCGGTTGCTTTGGTAGCACACCACCGTACTGCGTCGGCGTGATGATTGATGGAGCGTGTGATCGAGAAGAACCTCGATGGCAAGGACACGACATCCGGACTCGATTTGTCACGCTGAGGAGCCTTGCAGAGGCTCCACTCCCCAACCTCCAGTGAATCCAGCACTATTTAGGGAGTGTCGTTGCTACTGGATTCGAGCATGAAAGTGATATCTCGTTCGGCCGCGCTCGGCCCGCGGCCTCAGAGAGCCAGTCGCCCCAACGGATCCCTGCCCCCGCGAAGCGCCCCCCGCTGCCGCGAGCACGCACGCAGACATCCCGCGTCGCTACTCTTCGCGGCGTGCCCCCCCCCCGAGGTTTGGGGACTCCTTCCCGGCGGCCCCGGCTTCTCGGCCCGAGCAGACCGCTGACGGTCCAGGGGCCCAGGAGGGCCCGTGGCGGCTCGGGCGTGCGAGCAGCGTCCCGACCTTTGCCCTGCTGACGCGAGGATGTCGGGTGAAGTCCAGCAGAAACAACACCAGGGCTCATGTCGAGGTCCCCGATTCGATTCGCTTCGATATCGATGGATTTTCCGATTCCGATTCGATTCGCTTTGGGATTCCGATTTGGGCTCCGATTTTTCACTGGACGCGTACAAGCCTGCCGATTTCCGCCGATTCGATTTTTTCCGACTCGGCTGCCGATTTCCGCCGATCCGATTCATGTCGATCGCCGATCCAGTTGTCGATTCGACTCTGGGCTCTCCTGCAACACATCAGGATGCGACGTGGCGAGCATAGTAATCCTGGACAACAACCACCCGGGTGTCCTCGGCTTCAGCAGCTCCGAGATAAAGGTGCGCGCTTGCGCTCCGCGGCAGCCTCGGGCCGATCCAGTGCCGCCCTGCCGCCTGCCGCGCTGTCGCTTCTGCTGCCGTGATGGTTGCCACTTTCCCCGCGCTTCCATCTTGCCAAAAAACCGTAAGTTTGTTACCGTCCGTTTAAGCTTCCATTCGCGTGCTTTTGCCCGCGTTTGGTTCAAGTTACTTGTAAGAAATGGGACAGAGTTCGCGTCTGGGCAAACATGGATCGGCGTTGTATTTTAGTAGCGTGCGCGTATCACATTTTAGTTTAGTTCGGCTCACTGGATAATCATCGCAATGCCGTGAGACACCGTCGAAGAACCATACATCTACAAGACGCATACGAATGAATCCCCATAGTTAGGGGAGGGAGGCAAGGGAGGCGCTCGTTCGCCAGGGAATGTCGCGAGTCAGACAAAAGACGGGTTGTCAGCCGGACATATGGATAGAGATCCCGTTGCAGTGTGTCTTGGCGAGCACCACAGGAGTTGATATCGAAAAGTCAATGTACTTCTGGTGACAATGGGACGCCAAACGAACATCTAGCTCATTTTTGCCAGACAGCCCCTGACGAGGGTGTGGACGATGACTCGTATTACATGCTGGCTCCAAGGGGCAAGGCACATGACCTCGAGAAGACCTCCAATGATGGAGGATACTTTTTCCGCGGCATTCTCTGAGGGCACCAACTATACACCAACACCGATCCTGGCCCAGGATCACCCTGGGCCCAGGATCGGTGTATATGCCTTCTTGCGCAAGGCAGGAGGGCGTATACACCGATCCTGGGCCCAGGGTGATCCTGGCCAGGATCGGTGTTGGTGTATAGTTGGTGCCTTCCTACATTCGGAGCAATGGTTGACAGCATCCACTATCTCTCGATTCACGCCGGGCAAACTTTTTGCAAGACTTGTACCAGACCAGCAGCGGAAAAATCATTCGAGTGGACAGTGGGGCCCTGTCCCCGGGAGATGTGTCATGATAGCCCCGCCGGGAGCGTACGTCGTGGCGTATGGGGCGGATATCCTGACGGACCACCATGCTGATATCGACAATGCTGGATTCGGGGGTGGACAGAACCCCCAACAGTGACACGTCGATTAGTGAATTGTCCGTTTTCGGTTCTCGAGAGAGCGCCGTGGCCGTTATTTTCCAGGCTTGCGCCCGCCAGGTTTGGGCCTCAGGTCGTTTTCACTAAACCACATTTTACTAAAGGGGGATCTGTCCATCCCCGATGGATCTGATGTCGCCGAGGTAGAATCCGACGTTTTGGCCCGAGTCGATAGAACCGGCTCAGCGCCAGCACGAGACGCTTCCCGACGCGACCGAGAACGTTCTGCAGGACGTGTACACCAAGCGTGAGGGTCTTTGTCCCCAGCGCAGGTGCGACAGGGCTCTTCGTCCGTTCCCTTCCCTTTATAAATAATTTCTCCCTGTCGCACCCCGAGGCCAGTTGTTAGGGTGGGCCGGGCGTTTCTCTTGAGATCACCAGTTATGGATCCGAAGCTGAAGCATTGGCAACAGTTTCACAAATGGAGGGCGGGTCGTTCTCAAAATGTGGTCTTCGCTTTAGCGGGGCGCACATTCGTTTCAAGCGAGTGCAAGAGTTTCACGAATTTCAGGGCGGGCCGTTTTCAAGATGTGGCTCTCGCTTTAGCGCAGCGCACACTCGGTGAAACAAGTGCATGCGCTTCACGGATTGAGGGCGGGCCGTTTTCAAAGTGTGGCTCTCGCCCTAGCGCGGCGCGCAGTCGTTTTCAACATGTGCAAGAACTGCACGGATAGAGGGCGGTTCCTCTTCAACATGTGGTTCTCGCCTTTAGTGCCGCGCACATTCGTTTACAGCGTTTTCAAGAGTTACGGGTTCCCATCATCAGCGTTCCAGAAATTGCGTGTTGGAAGGATTCAGGATTATGCGGGCGCCAGAGTCACGTCGATTCCGTGTGATGAAGTCTCAGGGATGGCCCTCTGGTACGATTCAGGATCGTCAAGACGCAACAATCACGTTGATCCGTGGCGTTAGAATCCCTCGAACAATGTTTTGCCATGCTTCAGGGCCTTCGAACGGGTGTCTTCCAACGAGGCAGTTCCATCAGTGGAAATGATTTGTTGTAGGGGCCTATAAACAGGAAGCTTGGAGGGAGGGTTTACTCCAACATCGTTGATGGTTCTCTTGGGCTTACACTGGTCCTCTTCCTCCTCGTCCTCCTCCTTTTTTTAAATGTTTGATCCGGCATCGATTTCCAGGTGAGGTTCTGCTTCAAGGATTTCGGCGCAAATCCCTCGCGCGGTGCGTGGGTGGCCCCGTGATCCGCCTAGCACGCACGCGTTGCATTGCCGAGTGCTCTGGCAGTGGCTTCCGTCTGCGTTGTCGTCCCTGCTCTTCAGTCCATGCTTCGCTCGGAGCCTGGGAGAACAGCCCTGAGCCTTGACCGGCCCTGGCTCCGCGTCAGGCCTGCCAAGGACTGCCATTGGCAACCAAGGCTTGTCATGGGCGATCAAGGCATGCCAGGGGCTTTTGATGCGCTGTGAACGAGAAAACAATCAAAACAAGTGAAGAGAAACCAAGTCAATGAAACATAAAACACCTAGTTCAAGACATTGCAGAACAAAAGTACAGCGAGCGTCATGAATAATTAGTGATTCACGGGCTTCTGGGTCTGTTGGATGAGAGGTGGATTTGTCGTCGGCGAGCGAGCGTCGACGAAAAGGAGCTCGGCCGATCCGCCGTTCCATTTCTAGGAGATGCGCGCTGGAATTGCTAGCACCCCGTTGGCCGTCGACCGTTCCCTTGCAGTCCGCCTTTTTTTCAATTGCATTTTGAGGAAGTGCTCGATTACATGCAGCTGAATCCCCCAAGTTTACCAGCCTCGAACGTATCCCTATCCCTAAGATTGACACGCCAAAAGGCGATGACAATCTTAGGGATTCGCCCTCAAAAAATAAGGGGATCCCTGCGATTGGCATCGTGATGAGGTGCCCAGCATAGGCATAGGGATATGTTCCAGGCCGGTAACAAGTACTATTGCAGTACTGTTTTGTATTGCCGTGGGGAACAAGGGCCGGCGCGCCCAGCGCGAAGTTGGCCCAAATGAAACGACGCTCTCGGTTGAACAGGAACGACGTCAAGAAAACCCCTTCAAGAAAAATAGACGCCCAGCGGAACCCCCATGCAGAACGCAGGTCACGGTGGTTTTGCCCGCGCCACTGTTTGTCAACGGTGTTCGCCGGGGCAGATCGGAGGAAGCGGGAGGCCCGCGCGACGCATCGGGGCACACCTGCCCTTTACCCCCGTGGGACCTCGGAGGTGTGACGCGTATAACACTTTTGCGCATGTCTGTACGGAGGTTCGAGAAACAACTGAAGTGGCTGATTCGTCCACCACCTCCTCCTCGCGTGCTGCTGGGCTTCTTGCGCACCTCTCTGAGGCCTGGAGGGCGGCCTCTTGGAGCCCTTTTTCTCAGGGTTCTTAATGGCTTTCGGGGTCAATCTGGTGGTTTCATGGGGGTCTCTTGAAGACCCGTGGAGCCCTCTCTGGCCGTTTCTGGGCCCTCTTGGGGGCTTGTTGGTCTGTCTTGGGCCAGTCTGGGGGGGGCCTCTCGGGCCGTGTTGGTTTTGAAATTCACAGCAGGCCGAAATGGCACTATTGCAAAGATGATTCAACCACCCATGCGGAATCTATGATGCTCGTCCTTCTTGACGTCTTTAGAAGTCCTCTTGGGGGAGTCTTGGGCCTTCTGCAGGCCATCTTGGGTATTCCGAGGTTTTTTCCTGCGTGTTTGATCCCTTCTGAAAGGGTATGAGAAGGCATTTTGGGGCATCTCGTCGGCCACGGATGGGTGATCTGGAGGCTCCGCGGGCCTCAAAGGTGCGCCGCCGAGCTAGTGCCTTGCCACTCCCCCGGAGGGAGGGGCATTCGTGTCATTCGGGAGGGGGGGGAACGAGGAGGAGGAGGAGGAGGAGGAGGAGGAGGAGGAGGGCAGCCAAGTGTTTCAAAATACCTCTTCACCTCCAGCGAGTTGCTGGCAGCGGACGTTTCAGCCGCCTCCTCTGTTTCCCCTGTAGCGGGGGGGGGGGCCCGACATTCGACGCAATGTTTTTTATATCAGAAAATCACAGCTTGACGCTCCAGGGTTCTGGACCCCTGGCCAAGACCAGCTTTTCATGCTGAGTTCGGGAGCCTTGAGACGGGGGTGAATGCGAACGGGAGTCCGCCAGAGCGCGAGATCTTTCAGGATTCCTCAGTGCCAGGTTTGCATTGACCCCGGTCAGCGCGCAGGATCCTGGAGGATGTCGAAGGATCTTGCAAGGCCTAATTGACCTGGGTGTGCACCGATCCGGGGCAAGTGCGTCCCCGATGTGTATTTTTCTGACGGCCCTTGGGCCCGTTGAGGGTCTCAGGAGCCCGAGACCTTGAAGAAACAACATCTGCACAAACACAAGCATAAATTGTCGGAGTTCCTCGCGGATTTCTTGGATCGGCGGTGGGCCCGCCTCTGGTGCGTGCGGAGCGCGCCAGGGGCGGCGCCGGAGGCACCGTCAAGGAGGTCCAGGAGAAGACCCGCGTTGAGCTCCACGAAAGTTTTTACTTCTGCAGTTTGTTCCCCCATGTCCTAAGATGGGTCCATTGCCCCATGTCCTAAGATGTGGTTATTCTGATCTCTCGGACGCCCCCGCCTCACATCGCATCCGCCTCCCTGGCGCACTCAGACTCCGACTCTCTCATGCTCAGACTCACTCACACTCAGACTCACTGGCACACCGGCTCGCTTGGGCCACTGCTAGGAGGTGCGATGTTGCAGGCGCGGCATTTGGGCACCCACAGGGGAAGCCAGGGGTTTGGCGAGTCCAGGGTTGGTGTCCAGGTTGTGGGGGTATCTCAGGCGGTGTGCCTGTTTGGGTGCCCGTCTTCTTCTGCTTTCGGAAGCGTTTGTGAGGATGTCTGAAGGGAGGCGCTGGTTTTGGCACTTCGGAGGTGGAGCCGCCAGGGGAGGGGGAACTCCAGGATGTGCGCCCTAGACTGTGGGGGGTGCCACAGGAGGCTTGCCTGTCTGGGTGCCGGAACTCCTCTGCTCCCAGGGCAGACCGTGAGGATGTCTAGGGCGATGCGCTGGTTTCCGCAGGGGGAGCCCCAGGGGGAGGGGACACGCCAGGATGCGAGCCCGGATTGTGGGGATGTCTCGGGCGGTGCGCCTGCGTGGGGTCTGTGTGCCCATCGTCCTCTGCTCTCGGAGCAGGCTGCGAGGAGGTCCCTGGCGAGGCGCTGGTTTCCGCACTCCGAGGGGCAGGGCCGCCAGGAGTGGGGACCCTGCCAGGAGGGGCGCCCCCCCAGACGTTTGGTCTGGGGAAGTCTCGAGCGGTCTGCCCCGTGTTGGGTGCCCGACGTCCTCTGCTTTCGGAGCAGGTGCGCGGGGATGTCTCTCAGAGCCCCGAATCATCCGGGGTAACTCGGGTCGGGGCTAACTCGGGTTCCTTTCTTCGGGGAATCCGAACCCGACTTACCCCGGACCCGAGTTACCCCGGATACTTCGGGCGTCCAGAGCCCCGAATCATCCGGGGTAACTCGGGTCAGGGATAACTCGGGTTCCTTTTTTCGGGAATCCGAACCCGAGTTACCCCGGACCCGAGTTACCCCGGATAACTTCGGGCGTCCAGAGCCCCGAATCATCCGGGGTAACTCGGGTCAGGGATAACTCGGGTTCCTTTTTTCGGGAATCCGAACCCGAGTTACCCCGGACCCGAGTTACCCCGGATAACTCGGGCGCCCCAATCTCAGGAGGGGGCGCGGGTTCCAGCGCGCCGAGGGAGAGCCACCGGAGGGCATGTCCCGGGCCCGCTCGCGCCCGGATTTTGTGGGGACGTCTCGGGCGGGCTGCTCGTGTCGGACCCCCGACCCACTGGCGTTCAGAGTCAATCGTGAGGATTGCAAAAAAAACCCTGGATTGCAAAAAAACCAAGGTTTTTTTGCAATCCTGGGTTTTTTTGCAATCCTGGGTTTTTTTGCAATCCAGGTTTTTTTGCAATCCTTCGTTCAGAGTCAATCGTGAGGATGGATGCGTCAAGCGGAGCGCTGGCTTCAGCACCCCAAGGGGCCAGGATTGTGGGGACGTCTCGGGCGGTTTGCCTGTTTCGATGTCAAGACCCGTCAGGACGAGGACGACCAGGGCGAGGACGACGACGACGCACATTCGCATTCAGACCATTCAGACTTGTCACATTCACACTCACATTCACATACCCTCGGACCTCCATCACACCCACATTGGCATTGAAAAGCAATGGGCGCCGGGGGGGGATCAGCAATAAGTAGTAGTCGTTTTTATTCATTGTTTCTGTTTTGCCTTTTCGCGCGGGCTCTCGGACCCCCCATACCCCCCCCCCTGGAGTGGATCTTGGCTGTTTTTGGCGCCTGTTTCGAGCAGGTGGAGTCCTTCCCCGATAGGACGCACCGTCGCAGACAGTCGCACTAGAGGTCTGGAGCCAGACCCCCCCCCTCCCCCCCCTTTCCGCCCAATGTCGGAACGCCGAATTACAAAAAACGCTAACTTGTTCAAGTGGCGTACGCCAGTCCAAAAATCCCCAGAGAGAATCAGAGCCCGTGGCGATCGTGGAAGTTCTCTAGCGGCCTTCGGCCCAGCCCGCCACCGTGCCTGGGCTGTGGGTCAAGAGCCCCTTGGATGAGTATGAGGTTCTCTTGGGATGCCTCTTCAGGCAGTCGCTCTGGACCTCCTCGTGGTCTACTCGGGAACCGCACAAGCCGTTCACGCAGCGCGAGGACGTCGGGCGACAGGACGCGCATCCGCAAGGGCGCCCTCGAGGGCGCGAATTTATTCGCGCTTCGAGGTTCGGCTCCGATTCCTTCCCATCCTCCTCTTCTCGCCTGGAGGGCGGCGCGAGCGAGCGAAGTTATTCGCGCTTCACAGGGAGCAGGAGGTGGAGGAGGAGGAGGAGGAGGAGGAGGAGGAGGTGGAGGTGGAGGTGGAGGAGGAGGAGCAGGAGGAGGAGGAAGAGGAGGAAAAGGAGAAGGAGGAGGAGGAGGAGGAGGAGGAGGAGGAGGAACCCTTGATCCACGGTGGCTCGGCCCCGCCAGGTGGAGGAGTCGCCCGAGCCCAAGCCCGTCATGGTGGCCAGCCCCGAAGCCCGAGGGCCGCGCGCCGGCCAGGGGGGTCTCAGCGGGCGGCCAGCAGCTCTGGAGGTCGGCGGCGGCTCCTCGGTCGTCCCCCCCCCTCGATCCTCCCAGCCTCCCTCCCGTTCCTTCTCCTCCTCCTCCTCCTTCCCTCCTCCCTCCTCCTCCCTCCTCCCTCCTCCCTCCCTCCCTCTCTGCCTCCCTCCTCATCCTCCTCCGCCTCTTCCGCCTCCTCCTTCCCTGCCCTGCCCTGCCCTGCCCTGCCCTGCCCTTCCTTTCCCTTCCCTTCCCTTCCCTTCCCTTTCCTTCCTCCTCCGTAGCAATTTTGGCTCAAGACAGCATCGAGCCCTCTGGTCACCACACCTCTTGCGCATGGCCGGTCCAGACCGTGGCGCTGCAGGGGCTTGGGCATGACGTTACGGGAGCCGTCTCTTCGAGGCGCAGCGGCAGCGCGGGCCGCCGCAGACAACCTGGTGAAGAAGCTTCTTGGCCAGATCGACGTACTCCGCAAGGAGGTGGACAGGGTGCGATCTCCCCAGCATGGCCCTGCTGACGAGGTCGCCCGTCGCGAAGCCATTGCTCGGCCTGCGTTTCGCTCCCTTGTGGCTGGCGATCGCTTTTCTGGTGGCCGTCGTCTACGGCGGAACGTCGCATGGCGCTGTCTGGGTCGGCCACTTGTCGCCTCGTCGGCGCCCGCGAACCCTGATCTCCGACATTCTGTCTTCTTGTTTAGAAATCCGGGTGCTTCTCCTTCATTTTCCAAGTGATAGACGTAGAACAACGGGGTCGCCTCCACCGATTTTGGCGCGCAAGATACCCACGTAAGCTCGCGCGCAAACGCCCTCGTCTCCAATGTGGCGTAAGTACCGCGTCGGCGGCCCGCGTAAGCCGCTGCGTAAGGTCGCCGTGTCATCTCGCGTAGGACCCGTGTCGACCAGCTGTCATGAGCCGCTTTCGGGGCCCAGGAGCAGCAAGTATGGATCGGGGGCAAAAAATCCCCAGCTTACCCCGGGGAAGCGGCCGGGACCTCTTGGGCCGCTTAAACAACCCGCATCGGGAGAGGTCAGTGGAAGGGGGTCCTCAGGGCCTGAGTCGTGAGTTTTGAGAGTCGAGGTTCTAAGACATGATTCTGCCTGTGTTGGCCGTCTCGAGCGCCTTCGGCGCCACAGCTTGGTTCGCTTCGAAATTCTGGCCAGAACACCCTCGGGCCAGAACGCATCCTCGAGTTTTGCCGAGAAAGGTCCCTGGATAGTTTTTGCTGGCCCCCTGGCCCAGACGTCCTCTCGTCTTGCAGAACCCCCACGAGGGAGTTCTTTGAGGGTTCTTTGACGACTCGAGATGAAGCCCGATCCCCGGGATGGGGCCCAGTCCTCTGGGCCAGGCAGCCCTCGGATGAGGACGAGTCGCTCCCAGAGCATTCCACAACGCTCTCAGCGCGCTCTAGAGCGCTCTGGAACGGCTGCGGCGCCCGGATGCTTCTTCCAGAACCGCAAGATCTCAGATGTCCCCGACTCGTCATTGTCTGATCTCGTTCCGGTCACGGCTTCGTCTCAGGCTAGGTTCGGAAGCAACTCTTGGGGGGTCAAATTGTGGTTTTGCCCTGGTCCAAAATCCAGTTTAATCCGGTTGAATTTTGTTTAATCCGGCTCAGTCCCGCTTAATCCGGCTGAATCCCGCTTGATCCGTGGTGTTATTTGGCTTAACATCCCCCCAGTGGGGCTTAATTATCCTTTTTCCGACGAGCACCTCCCAGTAATTGCCTCATACGCTAGGTGCGAGGATTAGTATCGTCGCCTTACTCCCTGGGGTGGAGGGTCTTTCCAAAGGGCTTTGGCGACCCGTCCTCCTGCTACTCCTCCTCCTCCTCCTCCTCCTCCTCCTCCTCCTCCATCTCCTTCTCCTCCTCCCCCTGCCCCTCCTCCACCTCCTCCTTCTCCTCCTCAGGTCGCCTACGGCCCTGGTGGACAGTGAGAGGACCCGGGGCGGAAGGCTGGATCCCAGGGAAGGCCCAGGGGTCCAGGGCTAAGTCGCGCGTGTCCCTCTACAGGAGGAATATTCAAACATAGTCCAAAAATAGTATGGGGGCGATTTTGCTATCATCTTTGACATCTATTCGTATTTGTTTCACTATATCTCATTTTTCTTTCAAAATCCACCTGTAGGAGGACACACCCGACCTAAGTCCAGGGCCCGTCTCCCCTGGGGCCCTGGGTCCTTCACAGCAAGTTCCCCCCCTCCCCCCTCCCGCTCATGCTGCAACTGTTGCCTCTCCTCCTCCACCTCCTCCTCCTCCTCCCCTTCTTCCTCATCCTCCTTCCCCATCCTCCTGCCAGGCTTATGCTCACCCGCCACCTCCTCCCCCCCTTTATTCGAAGAAGACAGAACAGCATAAACATAGCAACTGTTGAGAGAGAGCTCCGCGCGGATCTCTTGGATCCGCGCTTGGCCCTCCCAGGTGGCGCCTCCGGCGCCGCCCCTGGCGCGCTCTGCGCGCCAGGGAGGGGGGTCCAGCGGGGCTCAGAAAGTTTATGTTCGTAGCGTTTTTTCTTCTTCTACTTATTCCTCATCCTCCTTCCCCATCTTCCTGCCAGGCTCATGCTCACCCGCCACCTCCTCCTCCTCCTGCTCCTCCTCCTCCTCCTCCTCCCCTTTATTCCTCATCCTCCTTCCCCATCTTCCTTCCAGGCTTCTGCTCACCACGCCATCCTCCTCCTCTCCTCCTCCTCCTCCTCCTCCTCCTCCTCCTCCTCCTCCTCCCTCCTCCCTCCCTCCCCCTCCTCCGCCTCCGCCTCCTCCTCTCCTCCTCCTCCCTCCTCCTCCTCCCCCCTCTATTCCTCATCCTCCTTCCGCATTTCCTGCCAGGCTCATGCCCACCCGCCACCTCCTCCTCTCCTCCTCCTCCTCTCCTCCTCCTCCTCCTACCCTTTATTCCTCATCCTTCCCCTTCCCCATCTTCCTTCCAGGCTTCTGCTCACACGCCATCACCTCCTCCTCCTCCTCCTCCTCCTCCTCTCCCCTCCTCCTCCTCCTCCTCCTCCTCCTCCTCACTCTATCCTCATCCTCCTTCCGCATCTTCCTGCCAGGCTCATGCTCACCCGCCACCTCCTCCTCCTCCTCCTCCTCCTCCTCCTCCTCCTCCTCCGTCCCCATTCTTGCTGTGCAAAGGCGACGCGCACGGGCAGCGTTCAGGGAGTCCCCCCTGGGACGGCACGCCCTGAGGCCGCGTGCGCAGCCTGCACGGAGATCGACCCAGGGCGCGGCTGTCTGCAGCGTGGCAGCTGCTCGCGACTGGCATGCGGCTGCAGCGCCGTTGTCTGGAATCGGGCATGTCCCTCAACAGGAGGAATATTCGAGAATAGTCAGAAAGAGTCTGGAGATGAATTTTCTAGTATTGTTACCTAACAGCGAAGACTGATAGGTTTCTAGTGGTGTCAAAAGAGCTCACAGATCACTCCACAGGGGGGTCCGGGCAGGTGTTGGGAGTTGCCGGGCGGGCCTGTGCCGAGCTCGTTTTTCACCAACAGTCACACACTTCGTGCTCTTCGACTTCCCAGAACTCCATTCCCAGGCTCATTCTGAATAACCGGATGCAACAGTCACACACTTCGTGCTCTTCGAGTTCCCAGAACGCCATTCCCGGGCCACATTTAGAATAACCGGATGCAACAGTCACACACTTCGTGCTCTTCGAGTTCCCAGAACTCCATTCCCGGGCCACATTCTGGAGGGCCGGATGCAACAGTCAACACTTCGTGCTCTTCGAGTTCCCAGAACTCCATTCCCGGGCCACATTTTGGATGCCCGGAGCCAACTGTAGGCCACTTCGTGCTCTTCGAGTTCCCAGAACTCCATTCCCGGGCCACATTTTGGATGCCCGGAGCCAACTGTAGGCCACTTCGTGGTCTTCGAGTTCCCAGAACTCTATCCCGGGCCAGATTTTGGATGCCCGTAGCCAACTGTAGGCAACTTCGTGCTCTTCGACTTCCCAGAACTCCCATTCCTGGACCACACTTTCAGCAGGGGCAAGAGCACGACGAGGAGGAGGACGAGCAAGACCAGGAGGACGAGGACGAGCAGGAGCAGGACGAGGAGCAGGAGGAGCAGGAGGAGCAGGAGAAGAAGGACGAGCAGGAGGAGGAGGAGGACGAGCAGGAGGAGGAGGACGACCAGGAGGAGGAGGACGACCAGGAAGAGGAGGAGGAGGAGGAGGAGGGGAGGGGGAGGAGCACCAGGAGGAGGAGGAGGAGGAGGAGGAGGAGGAGGAGGAGGAGGACGAGGACGAGGAGGAGGAGGAGGGGGGGGGAGAGTACCAGGAGGAGGAGAACGAGGACCACCAGGAGGAGGAGGAGGAGGAGGAGGAGGAGGAGGAGGAGAGAACACCAGGAGGAGGAGGACGAGCAAGACGAGGAGGACGAGAACGAGGACGACCAGGAAGAGGAGGAGGAGGAGGAGGAGGAGGGGAGGGGGAGGACTACCAGGAGGAGGAGGAGGAGGAGGAGGAGGAGGAGGAAGAGGAGGAGGAGGACGAGGAGGAGGAGGAGGAGGAGGAGGACGAGGAGGAGGAGGGGGGGGGAGAGCACCAGGAGGAGGAGAACGAGGACCACCAGGAGGAGGAGGAGGGGGAGGAGGAGAGAGCACCAGGAGGAGGAGGACGAGCAAGACGAGGAGGACGAGAACGAGGACGAGCAGGAGGAAGAGGAGGAGGAGGAGGAGGAGGAGGAGGAGGAGGAGGAGCAGGAGAAAGAGGAGGAGGAGGAGGAGGCAGGCTGGGGCTGAGGCTGTGACTGCGACTGCCGTTGCCGCTGCGACTGTCATCGCGAATGCGACTACGACTGCGAGAACAGCAGAATTCGACAACTGGATTTTCATCTGAATCTTAAGGGGAATGCTTTCAGATATGCTTCTACACATCGCTGTTAGGTTGCTTTGCCGGGATAATTTAATGTTTTGTGTTGATTTATTTACCTAACAGCGAAGACTGATAGGTTTCTAGTGGTCTAAAAAGAGAGCAGCACATTACTTCAACATTACTGCAACATTACTCCACAGGGGGGTCTGGGCAGCCGTTGGGGGCAGTTGGGGGGCAGTTGGGGGGCTGTTGGGGTTTGCCGGCGGGGATCGTTTTTCGCATACAGTCACACACTTCGTGCCCACTTCGTGCTCTTCGATTTCCCAGAACTCCATTCCCGGGCCACATTTTGGATGCCCGGAGCCAACTGTAGGCCACTTCGTGCTCTTCATTTCCCAGAACTCCATTCCCGGGCCACATTTTGGATGCCCGGAGCCAACTGTAGGCCACTTCGTGCTCTTCGATTTCCCAGAACTCCATTCCCGGGCCACATTTTGGATGCCCGGAGCCAACTGTAGGCCACTTCGTGTTCTTCGACTTCCCAGAACTCCATTCCCGGGCCACATTTTGGATGCCCGGAGCCAACTGTAGGCCACTTCGTGTTCTTCGACTTCCCAGAACTCCATTCCCGGGCCACATTTTGGATGCCCGGAGCCAACTGTAGGCCACTTCGTGCTCTTCGAGTTCCCAGAACTCCATTCCTGGGCATGATTTTGAATGCCCGGAGCCAACTGTAGGCCACTTCGTGTTCTTCGAGTTCCCAGAACTCCATTCCCGGGCCACATTTTGAATGCTGAGGCAGGATGAGCTGAGGGAGGATGCAGGTGAGGCAGGCGACTGAAGCTGAGGACGAGGCTGTAGGCAGACTGAGGCTGAGGCTGAAGCAGGCTGAGGCTGAGGCTGAGGCAGGCTGAGGCTGAGGCTGAGGCAGGCTGATGCTGAGGCAGGCTGAGGCTGAGGCTGAGGCTGATGCAGGCTGAGGCTGAGGCAGGCTGAGGCTGAGGCCGAGGCTGAAGGCAGACTGAGGCTGAGGCTGAAGCAGGCTGAGGCTGAGGCTGAGGCAGGCTGAGGCTGAGGCTGAGGCAGGCTGATGCTGAGGCAGGCTGAGGCTGAGGCTGAGGCTGATGCAGGCTGAGGCTGAGGCAGGCTGAGGCTGAGCCGAGGCTGAAGGCAGACTGAGGCTGAGGCTGAAGCGAGGCTGAGGCTGAGGCTGAGGCAGGCTGGGCTGGCAGAGGCTGAGGCTGAGGCTGAGGCCGAGGCCGAAGGCAGATGAGGCTGAGCTGAAGCAGGCTGAGGTGAGGCTGAGGCAGGCTGAGGCTGAGGCTGAGGCAGGCTGATGCTGAGGCAGGCTGAGGCTGAGGCTGAGGCTGATGCAGGCTGAGGCTGAGGCAGGCTGAGGCTGAGGCCGAGGCTGAAGGCAGACTGAGGCTGAGGCTGAAGCAGGCTGAGGCTGAGAGGCTGAGGCTGAGGCTGAGGCTGAGGCAGGCTGATGCTGAGGCAGGCTGAGGCTGAGGCTGAGGCTGATGCAGGCTGAGGCTGAGGCAGCGCTGAGGCTGAGGCCGAGGCTGAAGGCAGACTGAGGCTGAGGCTGAAGCAGGCTGAGGCTGAGGCTGAGGCAGGCTGAGGCTGAGGCAGGCTGAGGCTGAGGCTGAGGCAGGCTGAGGCTGAGGCTGTGACTGCGACTGCCGTTGCCACTGCGACTGTCATCGCGAATGCGACTACGACTGCGAGAACAGCAGAATTCTACAACTGGATTCTCATCCGAATCTTACGGGGAATGCTTCCAGATATGCTCCTACACATCGATGTTAGGTTGCTTTGCCGGGATAATTTTATTGGTTGTCCAAAATCCGCCTGTAGGAGGACACGCCCGACCTGATCGTTGTCGTCGTCGACGTCGTCCTCCTCGTACCTCTCCTTCTTGATGCCCTTCCACTTCGTCCGACTCTCGGCTCGCCCGCCTTGAGCCGCCCTCGTGGAGAAACGCAGAGGGGGACGACGCGAGGGGCGGACGACACGCGCTAGAGAGGCCGACGCGAGAGAGGATCCCGAGAGTGGACGTCCTTCTGGCCCCACCCCTCGCCCCCAGCCGTCGTGCTCGGCGCCCTCCGCGCGCCCCCCGCTCGAGCACCGGCGGCGTGCGCGCCCCCCGCCCGCGAGGTGGAGGTCGTTCGCCAGAGGGGCACCTACGGGAAGGTCACCTGCGCGTACCGGACGGAAGGCGAGCCGGAGGGCTTCGGCGTCGCGCAGCCTTGCGTCGGGCATGTCCCTCTGCAGGGAGAATCTTCAAAAATGGTCAGAAGATAGTCTGGGGGGGATTTTCGTCTTACCATTGATCTACCATTGTTGAATATTTGTTGGATGTTTTTCCAGCCAGAATCCACATGTAGGAGGACATGCCCGACCTCAGCGTAGCCGCAACCCCCGGATGATAAAGCATCCCCCCTGCCCCCCCTTTCCCTTTGCATCTCTTTTTTTTTTTTCATCCACGGGATTGGATGTGGCTCATTCAATTGAAACAGCAGGCGGGGAGGCCGAACTTTATTGTTCCCTCCATAATTTCTATCGTAGCTCTGATTGCAAGGATGTCTCAGGAGAAACGCGATCCAGACATCGCAACATCGACATCTCTGGGCGAATGTGTATTCTCCCGCCTCGACCCCGAACTGTGTGATCCCCAGGGGATTATTCTCACCAGAATGCGGTTAAGGGGGGGGATGAATGGGTGGGCTGCGAGGGCTGCGGAAAAGGGGCCCCGCATGGCCCCTGAAGGTGCCCTTTCGGGTCCAAAAGGAGCCTTCAGGGCCCGAAAAGTGCACCTGTCTCTCCCCCCCATTTCTAAATCGGGCGTGTCCCTCTGCAGAAGGAATGTTCAAAAATACTCAAACAAATAGTCTGGGGACGATTTGTGTTAGTATTGTTTGGCCATGTGTTTGTTTTGTTTGGCAATGTTGGTAGCATTTGTCGACCAATTATTATTTTTCGTCCAACATCCCCCGAGGAGGAGATGCCCGACTTAATTTTAGGGTCCAAGCGGTGGCCCGAAAAGTGTACCTGTCTCTCCCTCCATTTACCTTCCCCTCCTTCAGCGACGCCCAAAGGCAAGAGGTGGCAGCGGCCGCCGTCTTCTGGTGGTGGCTGACCACCCAATTTCGTCGGGCAACAGAGCTTGTTTCTTTAGACGTCGTTTGGCCGCCGTCGAGCGATCTGCGCGCGCGAGCCGCTGGAAATAGCTGTTGTGTGGGACGGCCAACTGCACGCGCAGGGCAGAAGGCGCAGGAGCCGAACAAATGAATTAGCGTGACGAAGGACACGACCATATGCGGCTGCGAGTACCGCGAGGGAGATGAGACGAAGGAAGGGGGCGCGCAAGCTCCGAGTAGCTCTAATCAACAGCGCGCCGCAGGAAGGACGAGGCGCGGGGCAGTGCAGGCATGGGCGAGGGGGGGAGGGAGCGGAACGGGATGGTGGGTTTCAGATGTTTCTTCCTGTGTTCTCGCGCCCTGGTGACCTCGGCTCTGGGCAGGGCGTAACGCGGAGTCCCCGCGACGCGCGCCGGTTGGCCCGCAGGGGTCGCCTCGGCCTTCGACGTCGTCCCCCCTGTTTTTCTCGAATCTGCCTTCCGTCCGAAACATGTGAGGGGTGTGCCGAAATGGGCGCGGACGCATGCGGGCGGCGCCACTGGGACCGTCGCGAAATTGGTGGCGCGGACGCATGTGGGCGCAGCAGCCATTGGGGCCGTGGGTGGAGCTCCCTATGGGGACACGAAACGTGCGAGGGGTGTGCCTGCCGAAATTGGCGCGCGGGAC